AACATTTTTATATTTATTTAGTATTTATTACAAATAATAATAAAAAATTAGTATAAAGTATGCGTAAGAATATTTTTTGTATAATTACTATTGCATTCATTTCACATTATTAATAACCAGCTTTATAATACATACAAGGCACGTTATATGTCGTAATGCATAAATGCGAATATAATTCTTTAAATTTTCATTTTTTCGTTTTATATATTATTTAACCAATTAGCCTATTTAGATACAGAAATATAATAAATGGTTGTTTTATTCGTGTATCTTAAGCATGTTTATATTTTCATATATTTTAAAGAGTTAACTCAGAAAACATTTTCATGATCATACAACTAGATATATAGAAATATTAAAATTTTTATTAAAGAAATTTAGTTATATTTCATTATTTTAAAAGTTTTGTCATTATTTTGTAATTACTTCCGTAAATTTATAATGTTAAATAAGTTTTAAATAGTTAAAATTTTGAAATAATTATTTAGGAATGTTGATTTTAGTCATTTATTTTTATCAGTATTTGCAATTATTATTTCAAGGAAAAATAAATTTAGTTTTTTAAAGGTGATCTGTATATTAAATTTTAAGATTTTAATATTTATATTTCAGTTGTGTTTTATAAATTGCATTTTTAAAATGTATTTTTTTTTTGTAACAAAATATTAGGTGGTACATCATTTAATTAATATTATTTGCAGAAATATGTTCAACATTGTGTAGCATTTCTTGAACATAATGATTAATACCTACAATTTAATATCTATTATATTTATGTATTCCTATAAAACATTGAGAATGTAATACCAGAGGAGTTAAAAATTTTTATGGAAGACATTTTTAGCTATATGTGGAAAGATTGAAGTGTTTCAAAATATTAAAGAAATGATTCTGAAATTAATTATTTACTATTTATAAACTTCAAGAAATTTTGCAACAAAAGTATAATTTGAATATGTATAAATAAGTTTGCTGTGCATAGAAACAGGTAATACATCCTCCATAAATTGCTTAAAATAAATATAGAATGTAGTAAATAATATTTTTGTAACTTATTTAGGCAAAAATTTGTGAGGATTGAAATATAATTATTATTGTGTTATTATTATTATCATTATTATTATTATTATTATTGATACTAGAAATTTCCCTTGTGGTAAGCAAATTATGAATTTGTACTACACTTTCCAATATTTGGCACACAAACAAATTTTATTGCTATTAAGTATCTATGTTTCATATTCATATATTTAAGTAAATTTGTAATAACTTTATATATTTAATTTGTTGATATGTACACATAAGTTTACTATAGCAAATTTAATGAGAATTGTTTTTAATTTTAACACCTGGAATGCCTAACGTAGATTTTGTAATATATAATTTGTTTTTAGA